TAGATTAAAAAAGTTTTCTTTTTTGATCATATTGCCTCGTCAGAACATGACACGTCCTCCTTTATATCTGTGAACAGATCTGGCAAAATTCTGATTTCGTCTGAAAAGAGCACATTTTGTCAATTTCTAATATTTCAGTTTTCGTGTTGAAAACACGAATTTAAGCTATCAAAAAGCGGGAACCCATAACTATCTACTGCTGTATAGTCCTTGCTGTACGTCTTTTTCTTATCGTTTTAACTGAAACACTTGTAGCTTCTGTAAAATTTTCCTTTGGAGCTGAGGGTGCTAAATTGCTGGGTTTCTTCTAGTAATTTTAACAATGAAACGATCGTGTCAAACCATTGTTACTTTTTGGCGACATTGTCCTAGTCTATTCTTCAGCGTTACTAATTCCTGATAAGTACTTACCTAGCATAATTTTTTATCATAACACCTTGTGTTAAACCTACCACTGGCGCTATGTCTCTCTCGAGACATTCCTTGCTTCACAAGACCAATAATCTTTGCCTTTGACCGTTGATTGAATAACCCAAATAAATAACCCATTTGGGTTATTCAATCAACGCTTTGACATACGTTCACCCCACATAAGGCATATTTTCGTTTTTGAACGCACAAGTATATTTATTTTAGTTTAATTTACAACTCAAGCAAATCATCTACATATAACTACTGAGCTGTTTTATCTGATTTTGTTATGTTATCTGTGTTTTAATTTTCAATAAAAATCTTTATTCTTCTCAACAATAATAAAATTCAAAATATTTAAAAGAAATAAATATTGGTTAAACTGCATGATAATTAAATGATATGCATGGTGATTGCAATGCAAGTTTGGTTGTGTGTAGCGTAAAGAATGAGAGCCGAAGAAGACGAAGAAATTTAATTTATCAGCGAAAGAGTAAATCTTCCGAATATCGTGCTACAAGAAAGATTGAAACAGTTTTATATAATAAATGTTGTGTTTTTATTAAAGTATTTCCTGGTCAAATTTTTAATGAATCATAGATTTGAGTTTTTTGATATAAGGTAAATTTTGAACTAACCTATTTGGTTTGTGGTTTTCTGACAGAGAACTATTAATATCACTATTGATTGTACTTAAAAATTTGATGCCTTTATTGTCAGGAAAAATGCGTAATAAAACAAATCAACTTGAATATTTTAGTCATTTAAAAATACATAATCAATTACCATTTTTTTAATCTATAACACTATTATAATGTTATTCATTATTTTATTAGTGTATCAACTTGACCCTGAAACTGGCATTCAACCGTTAAAAAATAAAAAATAAAAAATAAATATGAAATGATTCATATTTAATTCAGATCAATCGATATTAAAATTAATAATAGGCAGAATTTAATATTCAAAAAGACAGTATTTTTAAGAAAGTATTTTTAAAGCCAGTAAATTTCGGTCTCCATATTACGTTATTTTCTTGTAACAACCACTGCCGTAAACTTTTACTTTTAAATTTAATTCAAACAATTCATACATTGCTTATTTATTTATGACACGAAAGAGATATTAAAAATTGGTTTTGTTTCACCTCAGTTGAAACTGAAACTTCTGTTTTTATCGAAATTGAACTTTTCTATGCCCTTGTCTCTATAAAGTTGTTTCTAATCTTTGTCTGACTTTCTTCTGATATTGTATTCCTTAGAAACGTATTGATCTATTTCAAAGTAGAGAAATCTCTTTGAGTTTCTGCAGTTGCCATTGCCATCAGAATGTTTGTCAACTTCAACTATTTGAAGAAATATTACAATATAACCGTTAAAAACAAATTAACCAACCTAACATTTTAACGCAAAAGATATCTTTATATCTGTAATATTTTTTCATTATTTATACGACAACAGTGCAAATAGCAAACGGAGTTAGCTGCAGAACATCAGAAGAAATCTTGCAAATTCAAATATCTGTAGGTATTTTATTTTTAAATTGGTATTTCTTATAAACATTAGGAATTTAGGTATGTTTCTGTCAAAATTTTAAAGTTCGATAAGCGATAAGAAATTAATTTGTTATTGTACCTACTGATTTTAACAACCAGACCAATTTGGTATTAAAACGTTTTAGGTTCAGAAATTTTAATTGTATTTAAATGACATTAACACCAACGGAAGCTGCAAACTCTTTGGTTTTAGTGCAAGATGATTGTAGCCAATATTATGCACCCCAGTCGCTATGTGTAAGTCACTGTGCTGCTCAAAGACCCATTCAGCGGTTTAATCAAAATGACAACTACGCTACAAACTCAGGATCAGGCCATAAGGGAGCAACCGTATGATCGATTTTTTCGTTTTTTTGTGTTGAAGCAATAGACGTCTAACTTTAATTGAGCTCGCAAATTGCCTGAACGAATTTCGAAATGTGGTTGTAAATAGATGGACCGCGGTGGTCATCAACGACTTCATGAAGCGAATTTATTATCCAGAAGACCAGCGCTCAGTTATGGTTCAGGCTGGTACAGGTTCTGATGCATAGTTCTTGTAGGTGAATATTCTATGTCAGGAGCAAGGTATATAACAAAAATTTTAGATGAGCATGTGGTACCTATCTTTTGCACCATTCACAGCTCCGAATTTTATTTTTATGGACGTTAACGTACGTCCCCACTGTGCTAAAATCGTCAAAGAATACTTCTTAGTAGACATCGGGATTATCCGTATAAGTTGGGCAGATTTCAGCCCCGATTTCAATCCAATTAAAAATGTATGGGATACGCTGGAAAACGAATTTAAGTTTAGCTACCCCGTCCAAACAACTTTCCTGTGCTTAGTACGGCTCTTCAGACAATATGGGACGAATTGAGTCAACGTCAGGTTAAAAATTTAATTACTACAATGCCAAGACGTACTTATGCGGGTTGTTATAAGGTCCTGAACAGGAAATACAGCGTATTGAAAAGTGTGGGTGTTCATTCTAGTTAACACTTTCAAAGGCAAAAAATCCTTGGCCTTTTACATATTATGTATCAAGATTGTTGATATTTCCTGTGTAATTAAAATAAAGTAACTATCTATTTATTTTCAAATAAACTAATTTACATTTTAAATTAAAGTTTATACAAAATTTAATAAAAACAAAAGTTGTTTTATCCAAATTGCAATAAATACTACTTTAATACAATACAAAATAATAAAATAGATAACGTTGAGCATCAGGATAGGTTTTGGAAAGTTCGTCCTTTGTACGAAACAATACGCGCCCGTTTGCTGTCACTTCCATTGGAGACAAATCTGTCAATTGATGAACAAATAGTGCCGTTCAAAGGATCACTCAATGTGAAGCAATATATAAAAAACAAACTAAATCCATGGGGAATAAAAATATTTGCAATTTGCGGTGAAAGTGGGCAGATGTTCGATTTTATAATTTATCAGGGAGCTAAAACGGAATTGGATCAAACACAAATGACGGTTTTCGGACAAGGCGCAGCTGTCGTTTTGAAGCTGTGTGATCGCATCACAGAGGATAATTGCAAAGTCTATTTTGATAATTATTTCTCTAGTTATTGGTTGTTACAAATTCTGCGCCAAAAAAATATCTTTGCCGTTTGTACTGCACGGCAAAATAGATTCAGTAGCCCTAGCTTCTCTGCTGATAAAGTAATGAAAAACCATGGACGTGGTAGTGCAGAAGAAATAATCAGCAACGATGGGGAGGTAATCATGACAAAGTGGTATGATAACAAATCTGTAATAATGGTATCTAATTATATAGGAATTGGGACGATCGACAAGTGTAAACGATGGGACAAAACAAACAAGAACTATATAGAAATAAATAGACCACAGGTAATAAAGGATTACAATTTGTCAATGGGAGGTGTTGACAAATTCAATTTCTTACTAACATTGTACAGGACCTTTATTAGGTCACGTAAATGGACATTGCGAATGTTCACACATGGTATATATTTAGCCTGTACAAATGCATGGCTAGAATATAGTAGGCAAGCAACAAATTTGCAAATACCAAAGCAAAGAATCTTGTGCACTTTCGCGCAGAAATTGCTGAAGTTTTTTTAGCTATAGAAAAAACAGTCAATAAAAAAAGAGGACGACCGCTTTCGATAAGGCCTGAACCAAAAACACCTAAAAGAAAAAACATTGAAGTACGTCCAGTTAAGGAAGTAAGATTGGACAATGTAGGACATTTAGCAAGGGAAAATCTCGTACATCTTGCCTCAAATGCAAAGTTCATTTATGTTTGACCAATATTAACAATTGTTTTGTGGAGTACAACAGTATATAAATCATGTATAATGTGCATTGAATAAATATTATCATTGTTCTCATTATTTATTTTTTCTCTAACTCACAGTCTTTTTACCCCGTTATCTCACAATGTCCTCATGTGTGGACATGCTATTTTTCGAAAATGGAAATACTTTTTGACTTGGAATAAACTCCATAAATCTTAAATAAATTCAAGTAACCAATATTCAAAATTTCAAATTTTTAGGCTAAGTTTAAAAAAATCATGAGCGAAAGGGTCAATAACAAGTACATATTTGGCTAATACAATCCTGACAATTATTGTCAAATTTGTGTTAATTTGAATTTTTACAATAATTAACCAACTGAAATAACGTTCGGAGAAAAACTGAACAAAAAATTCCATTACAAAGCTGTATTAAAATATTAAACAAATATATAAAACGTTTTATTAAAAACTCACCTTCACCGAAAAGTTGTCGATATATTATTTGAGTCCGAAATATATTAACCACTCCGCGTACATCCACCTACAAACCAAATCTGGAATGACGTCGGGCGTAGGAACCTTTTTATAAATATATATTTACTATGTCGACAGAACTACTAGCGCGGTAACGGTCCCGAAACCTTCACTTAACAGAAACACCATGCCCAAAATCGATAACACAAATATTAATATCTTCGCACTATAAGCATTCTGTGATTTAAACTCTAGGGAAAACTATAACCTAAAAGTTCTAAAATGGCCGATAATATTTTCAGTTAAATGGAGCCCGGTGTAGTGAAAATTGCGGATGATGGTGATTTCGATATGTTGAAGAGATTAGTCGACGAACACACCGAGTGGAAGTTGGAATACGATAAAGGAGAGCAAACCAAGGTAAGTGTTATTCAATTTTATATTTTTTATGTAAGCATTTCGCGCCTGATAGACTGCAGTCTTTCCGTTTTCCCATTATCGCAACATGGGATTATAGACCATGCGGTTGGTTTCTGCATTTCGTAACTAGTTGAACGCAAAGACTGGGTAGCGCTCTCGCGTTCTGTCGAAAACCCTTATTAAAATAGCTTTAAAAAATTATTTTAGATAATTTCAAAAATATATTATTAATTGACCTGGTTATCCTGCAAAGAAATATATTTTGGATAAATGATGGATTCAACCGTTGCTTGATGGAAGCTTATTTTATGTAAGAATAAAACACTGAAAACTTTTATTTTCTACACTTCCTCAAAAAGTATTACACTTTATTTTCGGTACGTCTGTTTCAGCAAATTTCCTTTCTTTACTGATGTATTATTTTTACTGTACGTCTAAATTTTAAGTCTTTCACTGAATAAGTTAATGAGAGGAGAGCTGTTTGTATAAGTTGTTCATTCAGCATGTATACCTGTTTTTTTAAATTTGTTAACTTCTATAGATTCTAATAAAGATAGCTAAATGCCTTTATTTTGAATATGGAGAATTTGAAATTGGTGGTTAAATTAATGATTATGATTTAGAAGGTGAAGTGCGTAGGTAGCATCTGTTTTTCTATTATTGAAAGTTCTTTTATGTTCTGCTATACGTGAGTTAAACGTTCTACCAGTTTGATCGATGTAAGTTTTTGTGAGGATACCACATGTAAATGTGTCTACACCACTGTCTTTTGGCTCTTGTCGTTCTTAATTTATTTGCTTAGGTTATTGTTTGTTCTGAAAGCAGCTGTATTATAATATATAAACTATGTTTTACGAGGTATTCGAGGAACTTTACGGCAACCACATTTCAAACTCTTTGATCGATTAGAGCCTTTAGTCCTTTTGAGTCCATAGCTCCATAAGTCACTGCTTTTAACAAATGTACTAAAAATGCGTCCCTTTGTTTGTCAATGGCATCCAGTTCCACATTACTACTGTTGAAGACAAAATAAAGCTTGTAATGATATTCGCCAACATTCATTACGAAGAGGCACGAAGAAGAAGTTTAAGCCAAGTGGAGAAATTGAGTTGTTAATCGTGTACCTCCGGATTCGCATAAAACGCAATGAAAATTCAGAGAAACAATTATACACTAATAGACTAATTTCGGTTCTCCCGAACCTAATTCCTACGAACGAATTCCTTAAGGAGAATTCATTAAAAAAAGCCAGATCAACCCTAATCTAACTTTTATGTGGATTAAGGACTGCGCGCATAACGAATATCATAAACACGTAATTGGCATCTTCAGGTTTGGCACTCCTGATCGAAAAACTACACCCAGATGAACTACCTATTCCGTTTCTAAGAATCATACATTCTTATATTGCTGACCAGATAGTTTGGGTCAAAGTTCGTTGATAAACTATCAACACTCTTTATTCACCCAGCAGAAGTCCCATAGAAATCAAGAATAATACCAATTTTATATTTACAGTATATAACAGATAAATGAAAAAAATTGAACAACAGATGACTGAAAATATATCCAACCTAAAACTCAGTCAGCCCACAAACATAAACGGAGGAAAACAAGAATTAAAAAGCATAATAAATGAAACAACAAATGAAGTAATAGGAAAAAACAACAAAAAGAAGTAAAGACTTAAACAGAATTGCACAAAGAAACAAACAAGCTAATATAACAAATATGGATACAAAACACTACCAGATGATTGGAACGGAGGTGCTTAGTGCCTATCTATAAAAAAGGAGATCGGGTGGAGTGAGAGAATTACACAGCAATAACCCTAATAAATACCACATATAAAATTATAGTAACATACTAAATATGTAGTAGACTTAAATCATACGCTGAACGAATATTAAGAGAAATTAAAACCGTGGAGATTTACAATTACTTCCATACATACAATGGAGCAAATATTTCAAAAAAGGAGAGAATATATCAGGAATGCACGTAACATATATTTCAAAATCGCCTTTGATATATTAATCAGACGAAAATAATGGAAGCGTTAGAACATCTTGAAATCCCAGAAAAATTAAGACATATGCTAATAGTGAGTCCAAAAAACACCAAGGAAGTTTTCGAAAGAGATCAAACTAAACAAAAGTCGCAAAAAAAGGTGACTTTATGCCCCCAACATTGTTTAAGCTAATATTGAAAGCAATAATTAAAAGAACAAACTTCGTAAACAGAAACATAATTACAGATCAACTTCAAGTAATAGCATATGCAGATGACCTAGTCATCATAGCGCAAAAATAAAGATGACACTTAAAATAAAGCTAAAGGTAAACCAGCACACAACAAAATACATGACAATAGGGAAAGACGACACAGCAATATCTAATAATACAGAACCATAAATTTGAAACTTTATCCACCTTTAGCTACTTGGGATTATTAATAGGGAAAACTAGAAAAGAGAGAACAGAGTAATTAATTCTGAAAGGCAAACAAAAACACATGGAATGAATATAAATCTACAGAGAAGCAAGACTATAAGTACTTACGAGAACGAAGAACCTATATAAGACATTAGTAAGACCTGTTGTTACATATGGGATACACGACAATGACGATTAACGAGAGAGAGAAAGAGAGAGAGAGAGAGAGAGAGAGAGAGAGAGATAACCTTCTGAAATTTTAAAGAAAAATAATGAGAACGATACTGGGCCTGAATATCACAAGTGGAGGAGAAGAAAATATGCTCAGATACATAAAATCCCTTTGCTTAGAATGTATAGGACATATACAGAGACGCTCACACTCAGATATGCTGAAAAGAGTAAATAATTGGACACCATTATAGCTCAGGAGCAAAAGAACTGACGTAAAATAATATCTAAGAACAATGAATGTTAAAGACTGGAAAGTTCAGCACAAAACCAGAAAGAAAAGGTAAAGAGTCAACAGCAGCAAAGACACACAGCAAGCTATAAATGACATAGGGCCATATTCCACCTCACCTGCGAATAGTATTTTGAACGCTATGTCGTTAACTATATTCCTTAGGGATTGTAACGCTTAATGAACTAATGAACAGCGACGTTCCCCAGTCTTATACTCGATTCCACAATAGATTTTTGTATGCTGATGGTTCTCCGCAGGGCCATTTTTCACGCACTAATGAAGTACGATCTGTATTACTCCTACAGTATTAGTGGGTAAACCCCACTAAAACACAGTTTATTATATTTAGGCTCTCTAATTGATTCCGTCCCTCTCGAGAATAAAAACCAAATTTCTACACAGAAGAAGACTTAACTTAAAACGTCAATGTCCTATTTGGATGTCGAATTTTCTAAGATTCTCAACTGGAATATGGATATCCAAAAGTACCCTAAACAAGTCTAGAAGAAGAACCAATCTCCTAGGAGCACAAAGAGATAAATTACGAAAAAATCACCACCAGACTGCCCTCCATATAAAACATATATAAGACCTATTATCGGATACAGGGCGTGCCTCTTTTCATTGTTAAACAAACCCCAGATTTAACATCCTCATGAAAACTAAACGAACAATCCTGAGAAGATTGGCGAACATCACAACAATTTAGACATGAATATAATTTCTAGGCAAAAGATGTATCCTAAGATCACTCATCAGAATTTCTAAACAAAACGTTTCGTTACAGCCAACGTAGCTCTCGAACTTAGCAACCAGCAAACTTCCTGATCATCTTCTGTCCTAAAGCATCTCTCAAATATTGCTGGGAACGAACTGTATGGCCAAAAAGGCTTGATCCACGAGCCGTTTCCAATAACTTGTATATCTGGTAGTATGCCTATGAGCAGTACATTCAATGGTCTAACCTGCAATTTTCTATACTTTAGTCCAGGATCTTACGGTAAAAATAGTAGAAAACCTCTGGTATTTGTGTATGCATCGATTTGCTTGAAATTTTGAAGGTAGTTAAGAAATTGGTCAAAGATTAAAACCTACCCTGTAGCAATATGTGCTTTTCCTGTGGGGATGCTTACCATCAAAAGTCGTGGGTGGAAAAAGTTTATAAAAAGACTAGAGTAATCGCTAGGATCGTCAATTTTAAGATAAAAATGTTCTTTATAGTCTGTACGAAAAGTCAATAATTTTGGAAAATTACACGTTAAAAAAGCATGTCTTTTCGCGAATAAGTCCAACAATGTAGATTTATGTCACGATTAGCCATATTAGCCAAAGTTATGGCTGTTCTAAAGTCGACTTTTATTCATCGAATACAAAAATCCAAACATATGATGTTGAAAAAAGGACAAAGGTAAGTTTTTATGAAAAAAAAAAATGTTAAAAGTAACTTTTAAACGACCACTTGTAAAAGTGATTTTCGTGAAAATTTAGCTTAGTTATAACTAAAATAAAGTGTCATTATATTTTTTGTGCCGCAGTAACAATTTGACTCCCACCAAAGCCACCCTGGTTGAAACTATTCGTTGTTTATTTACTTTATTTATATACAAATATAACATTATTTTACAAAAACTTTATTTTCGGAATTTCTCAAAAATCACTTTTTTTCAAAATAACTCAATAACCAAAAAATATATAGAAAAAATGTTAAAATACAAAAACAGCTTTTTACTCAAGACTTTGGCTTTTTTTATTTCTTCAAACAATTTAAAAATTAATCAAGGTATGATTGTATAAAGTTTGTATTGGCATGCGTTTACCACCATTTTCAAGCCCATTCGGTGCACAACTACTTTGTTGCTTTTAAAATAAATGAAGTGTTGTATAATAAATTTGTTTTACGCCCTTCTTTTTAGGATTGCACTGAAAGGATTTGAAGATGATATTAAACGCATGCGAACAAACCTTTAAACAATCATATCTCATTTAATTTTCTAGTCCATAGAAATTTAAAAAAATCAAAATCTTAAGTAAAAAAGCTGTTTTTTGTAATATAGCATTTTTTCTGTATCCTTTTTAGTAGTTGCTTTTTTTTGAAAAAA